TATTTAAAAACTACAGCTTAGTTCTAAGGTTCTGTGACTCCTTCTCTGCTTGGAACCTAGGAACTGTATGAGTTACAGCCCATCATTCATTTCAGCAGATACTTGTGTATACAGTACATCAGTTGGGGAGACTAACTGCTTAGTGTAAATGTCTTAAAGCTTTAATTCATGTTATTGTGAGTGTATAAATAATATATTGTCATATGTTGTATAGTGGATTCTATTTAATTTGACTTATCTTAACAATTTTAAGGTGAAAAATGTATACATGTGTAGTCATAGTGTGTTACACACAAGCCTGGTATATATTGATGTACTGTGTTAAAATAAAGGCATTATGTGTACACACAGCTTTTTAAGCGGTACCTTTTTATGCAATTTCCAAAAATGAAAAAAGATTGAAATCAATTTAATAATCTATACCTTCTGAAAGCCAGATATATATTTTACATAAATAACAAGCCAGTTGATTAGCAACATTTTGTGTGATGAAACAGTAAGACATAGTATCTGTACACCATTAGAATACCTCAATTTGTAGATGGTCTCTAAAACAAAATAACTATGTCCTAAAATTTAATTTATTTTATACAAATTAAAAATTATAAAAATGAAGCCTGATGTTGGAGATTAATTCCTGAATGATTTTAGATTGAATTCAGCTAAGTTTTACACTACTCCAGCCAGACCTGTCCTTAAACTGTTCTTCATTGTCTAAGCCTATATTTGTTTCTTTGTTAAATGTTAATTTTTGTGGTGTCACTAATAGTATACAGTTGAATAATTTGACTTACCCTTAATCAAACCAAATAATTACAACTTTTATTTTCACACAATAGAATAATTCTCATTATTGGTACCAACTAATTTAATATGTATAAATTTAACATTGTATTTAAACCATTTTATAAAGATGTTGGTGTTAATATCAATATCAATGTGAAGTAGAATTTCTTTAAAACAAAAAATATTTTTTTAAATATACATAATTCAAATATTGTGGTAGATACTGGTAGTGTTAAATTTAAAAAAAAAAAAAAATTATTTTAAATAAAATTGATGGTTATCATTCACAATTTTTGGAAAACACATTTGTTTAAGAAAGATCATCATTTTTTGTCTAAACTCATTTTATTGTAATTTTTCCTTTGTTAATTTATTGTTTCTGGTATTTCACCTTTAAAGTGATGATATACAACTCATTTCACACATAAAATTTAATTTTTAAAAATAAATGTAATTCAAATATTGTCCTTACTAAATGTTAAAAATGTTCTCATTCTATCATTTTTGACAGTTGTAAAAAAAATGTAGGGTCTTAACATCTCTAAATCAGCAATGGATCATTAACAAATAATTTTAGGTATAAATCACTGACACTCATGTGTCTTACTCAGAAAATCAATAACATTGCCAGGGTCTATTTCAAATGGGATATTCATCTCTTACATATCATTAGTATCAGGGTAAGAAGACAACAAAACTATTATGAGTTTCTTTAATCAAAAGTGCTTTTTCATGTGCAATTTTTTTTGGTGATTTATACATTTAAAAATTTCCTTAATTTATTTATTTTATTTTAATAAACTCATTCAAACCCCTTCCTCCTTCCCTCTTCCATGTCAAATCACTTTCAAATATTTCCTAATCATCCCCATCTCCACCCTTTATTTTTCCCCCCAAATCCATGACAAATGGTAAATTAACTAAATAATAATTTTTTTTCACATTTGTGGGCCCACTATCAATTTATTGATCATTTTGACTCCTGGTTTGAATTCAGAGTTAGCCTTAGATGAGTTGCCTTCCAAGGCTAACAAGTCCCATCCACCTGGGCTGTTTGGGATTTTGGCTTTGGCGGGGATTGAATTCCAGACCACCACTATTTGGAGTGAGTCAGTCTAGACCACTCGGCCACCCAGCACATTTATTTAATGTTCCTGAGTCGTTTTACATTATAAAAGATGCTATAACTTGATTTGTACAGACAAATAATGGCAAGTAGTTTTTAGAAATGTCATAAATTGTAAATAGTGCTGGGGTGCAAGTATTATGTGTATAAGGCTAAATAATTGTAACAAGTTTATTTTCTTCATGTTCACGTTTTGGGGTGATAAACATCTTTAAAAAAAAAAAAACTATCGTTAAACATTCATTATTGAACATTCCTTACTTAAAGCTCTATATTTTTTAATGCACTATTTTTGCAAGAATGATTCATAATTATTACAAGTCCTATTAATCATTTCAAATTTGTGCCATCCCTTCCATACCACTACTCAGACTTAGTCCAGTTGGTATATTGTGAAAATGCGGGTTCACCATGCCCTCTAGTCTCAAGCACTCCTCCAGGTATTAACCTTAAGAACAGTTAAGAATAAATGAATTCTGACATTGTCATGGTGTAAAATGACAATATATGTGTGTCACAGTTTCGCTCTTCACTGTAACCTGATAATTTTTTTTTTAAAGGATTGAGATTTCTAATACAACATTATTTTTAATGCAAGTGCAGGTTATTTAAATGCACAGTCTTAATTCTGTTAAAATAATAATGTGCACACAATTTTTTTCCAAATGTTAATGCCCTGAGAATCTTAGTAAGATCAGCAAGAACAAATGCTTTGTGATAAGATTATAGTTACCCTAGCTTACATAAATTATTTATTCCATTGAAATGTCAATCTGTCAATTAGAAAATGTTTCTTTTTACCTGTCTATTAATGAATTTTTAAATTTAAAAAAAGATTTTTATCAACTTAATAATGGTTATTGGGAGTATAGAAAATGCATTTCAAATATGTTGTTTCAAAATTGTTCTTGAAGCAGTATATTTATATATAGGAATAGGATTTATATATTTACTTCATTTAGGATTTTGAATACTGTCATTGTTACCATTTTCCATCACAAATTTGATGTTTTTAAAGAAACCCAAGGTGAGACTCCTCTTTCAACAAGATCTTTTGTTTTGTCCTAGGATTCATTGTTAATATTAATAGTAATCATTAGAGTTTGGGATTACATAGCTGCAGAAGATGCCTGAAAGAAGTTCAAGTTACACAGTGTACTGAACTGACCAACACCTCACTGCATAGACTTGATTAAGTAAAAAATAATAATGTTCTTTTCATTTTAAGAGCTGTTCTGCAGAGTCTTGTACCAAGTCTTACCAGACTACTCCATTTCAAAAAATGAGAGTGTGTCAGGCTCTGCAGTACTGGATGGTTAGCAATTATAAATTTACACAAGGGAATTAAATGTATTAAGATTTCTTGCTATTGTTTTAGTGCTGTCTGTACAACATTCAGTTGAAGATAATCAATTACTTTTAGTGTTAAAGTTGAAATTTCAAAATTGTTTACAGAGTTTATAATTAAAAATATTATTTATCAGGTGTACATTATCTGTATTTGAATGTCGATGTAGCCATAATTATTTCCACATATTTTTTTTTTCTGTTTCAATCTCTCAATGAATGGAGCTATCATGTTTTCTTAATTTTATTTTATTTGGAGGCAAATTAAATTTTAAAAAAAATTGCTACGTTTTCTCCGATAGAAAACAAAGAGAACAAGAAAGTTTTCAGTTGGAGGGTAAGACTAATAATAATAAATACGACATGATTTATATGAATGGCTCAGTGAGTGTTCTTTGGCTGTTTTACATTTAATGGAAAACTAAATTCTTTTAAAAAGAAGATTATCTATTTGCCCTGGTTACCAAACTTATAAGGATACAGCTCTAATAGTTTTTAACATAAAAAAATGTCTCAGAGTCTTAAAAAATTGTGTATTCTCGTGTAAACTGTTATTTTAAAGTGTGGTGAGTCCTGAGACATGAAAATCTAATCATACCAATACCTCAATCACAAATAAAAATAGTTAAACCATAATTTTTATTAGCTTTTAACAGTTAAACCATAATTTTTAATAGCTTTTAACATAGTCCTTTATGCACATGTAGGCTCTAGAAGTGTTCAAATCCAAATGAAAACAGTTGTAAAAGTAATTTAAAATGGTTGTTTATTTCATGGCAAATATACAATGTACACCAGTCATTAAGTGGTGCAATATGGACAAAACAAGATTTTAACAGGATTGAAACCACTCTAGATTTTAAATGAGAAAAACATGGACCTTTTTGCTATAGAATGTTTGACCGGCAAGTGAGGAACTACTTACATTACAAATGATTTAATCATTTCAGACAGTTGTAAACATGCTCTACATCATTGGTTCTCAAATGTTTAGTGTAAGGGAACACAATTCTGTTCCACAGTGAGCAACAGAACATCCAACATTGGAGCCTTTCACTTGGGATTCACCAATAAGTTTATTTGATTTCTATCTGTCACATTAGCCCCAAAATATTGTATATTGTGGGAGAAAGAGAAAGCTGAGAATTTTTTGTTTCAAAGTCTCAATTTTTTCATTTGTATTTATTGGACAAACCTATTGATAACAAGGACCACATACTTTCAGACACACAATAAATCTTTATTAAGTATATTAAAATAGTTGTGTTTTGCACTATACAACCACATACAACTAGATGTGAATAGACTACAAAGTATAGGACAAGCACACAGAGGTTCTTGCTTTTAGAATCATTCTCATCACTGTGAAATACAAATAAAATTAAAGCAAAAATGAAATTTTCTCAGGAGCTCAACTTGGGAACCATCTCGGACACACAAAAAACCTTCACAACCTGAAGCTCATGAACATACAAAAAATTACATAACCTGGCGCTTATGAACATACAAAACATTACATAACCTGGAGCTCATGAACATACAAAACATTACATAACCTGGAGCTCATGAACATACAAAACATTACATAACCTGGAGCTTATGAACATACAAAACATTACATAACCTGGAGCTTATGAATATACAAAACATTACATAACCTGGAGCTTATGAACATACAAAACATTACATAACCTGGAGCTTATGAATATACAAAACATTACATAACCTGGAGCTTATGAACATACAAAACATTACATAACCTGGAGCTTATGAATATACAAAACATTACATAACCTGGAGCTTATGAATATACAAAACATTACATAACCTGGAGCTTATGAACATACAAACCATTATAATTACATAACCTGGAAGTTATGAACATTCAAACCATTGGAATTACATAACCTGGAGCTTATGAACATTCAAACTATTATAATTACGTAAGCTGGAGCTTTATGAAATTTTTATTTTTATCTGTTACAAAAATGTGGACAAAGAATCAGATTTCAAAGATTATAATACATGTCCAATGTATAGCTATAAGGGTTCAACAGTCCTAGAGTGAACTCCCCTTGAACACATTTTCTGTTATCCAAATTTACCTCTACCACTGCCTAGACATCATCAGTATTCTCCAGTCACTATCACTGCCTAGACATCATAAGTATTCTGCTGTCACTACCACTGCCTAGATATCATCAGTATTCTCCTGTCACTATCACTGCCGAGACATCAGTATTCTCCTGTCACTACCACTGCCTAGATATCAGTATTCTGTCAATACCACTGCCTAGATATCATCAGTATTCTCCTGTCACTATTACTGCCTAGATATCATCAGTATTCTCCTGTCACTACCACTGCCTAGATATCATCAGTATTCTCCTGTCACATCACTGCCTAGACATCATCAGTATTCTCCTGTCACTATCACTGCGAAGATATCAGATTTCTCCTGTCACATCACTGCCTAGACATCATCAGTATTCTCCTGTCACTATCACTGCCAAGATATCAGATTTCTCCTGTCACTATCACTGCCCAGATATCATCAGTATTCTTCAGTCACTATAACTGCCTAGACATTATCAGATTTCTCCAGCCACTGTAACCAACTGGTAGTTACAAACACACAACAGAACAGTTTAACAACAGAACTGATACTACAACTACAATAGAGATGAAAGTATTTGACTTTTAATTCTACAAAACAATTACAAACTATATTTCTCACAACATGAGATATATGTGCAAAGCAAAGAAGGAAACGAAGAAGATATTTTACAGAATCAATCTGACAAATTTGAGCAGGGCCTTTTCAACTTTAAATTTAAGTCATAAATCTCTTAAGTGGCTCAATCCATCTGTATCAAGATATCTCACACACCCACTCTAAAACCAATGTCATTTACATGTGTATGGTTGACGGTCAATCAAATAACCAGTTTAGGCATTGACCAGTCTTGTCATTACAAAATACAATACAAAACATTTGTATAGTTTTTCTTATACTTATTGTGACAAAGAGGGGAGGCACAATCTTCATCTACAGTCAGTAAGAGTACATTTTTTCCCATTATTTAGTCAAGGTGTCACATTTATCTCAACACAACTAATTCAAACAAGTACAAAGATAACAGTCTCCTTTGTACTTCCTTAAATAGTTAGGTTAACAGTCAGTTGTAACCTACCTAATACAACAACAATAAACCTCGTTATAAGAAAGACAAAAGTGATGCATTATAAATTGCTTACAAAAATCACTTTTTTAAAAATAAATTGTTAATTTCCAACAATGAGACCTACAGATACTTGTCACAAAGTGAAAATTCATTTTAAAAATAATGCACCATTTGCTTGTCTCCTTTTGTTAGACACAGAATGTTCTGTACTTAAATACAGAGTTTGTCCCTAATTAGTGAACATCCATACCTTAACTAGTTCTCTTTCACAAACATTCATCTGATTACCCATGAGCTTTAAATGTCAAGGTTTGCATAAACTCTATCTATATTTATTTAAGAACAACATGCAACTGGGTCTCACTTTAAACAACAGATGGTCGTGTCTCTTTGAAGATAGGACTTTCAAATAATCCACTGGCAGATGCAAAGCAATGGTCTGTACATAAAGACAACGCTACCAGTCTAGTAGATCTCCTCCTATCACGGCCATCCAGGCAAGCAGATAAATGATATGTACACAAGTCTAAACTTCACACCCCTAACAAATTATGCAGTTCATCGTCATCTATCAGTGGCTCCTCCTCCTCCTCTTCTTGAGACATCTTAGCTTCTTCCACAGTCATCATGGCTTCCTCGACACCCCCAGCAGCAGAGGCAGCTTCTTCTTCTTCCTCTGACCCAACCCCTTCCTGTTCCTGACGCATGAGTTCTTCTATTCTTGCATTCAGATCCCGACGCTGAAATTTAAATGATAACCTTTAGAGCAAAGACTGCAAGTTCCTTAATGTCATCAACATGTGTTAATTAACAAAATGGTAATTTGTAAATAAATGTCTCTTGATTTATATAGCTGGGCCTTCAATCCTATTTCTCAACATTTGTTATACTTTTAGTATGTAAGAAATTTTGTTAAAAACTTTGAAAATCTCAATCTTGACGATCACCCACTGGGACTGGTGTATTTTTAACAAGGAGAGTGATTTATTGAAGAAAACTACAATTTCCTAACAGTACACTTTTGGTGCTATTATAAAACAATGGCATTTGCTGGTACTTTCCATCAATTATTAAATAATTTTAAGTTAGATATAAGTAAGTGAATTAAGATTTTACAATTATTCCACTTTTTAAACATATATTTAGTGAAACCCTGTGACTCATTGAATCAATAGCATATGACTTTTTAAGATAAAAGAGTTTCAGTAATCATATAATACTTTTTATCACATCAGAGATGTCGATCACTGACATTTTTTAAAGTGTGGACCATAATGTAGACCATTGCAAGCACATCTCTTACAAGGATTCCAAAGGAACATCACTAGTGAATGCAACATAAATTATATTTATTTAGATATTTGATTATACAAAGCCACACAAAACCAAATTTTCTGCCCAAACGCAAGAATGTATCACTGTAAACAAACCTTTGATTCCAACAACTCTTCATCATCATCTTCCGTCAGCTCTAAAGCCGTAGGTTCATCCTCCTGGCTTGTGGTTGGCCGGCTGCTGTCTCTGACTGCCGTGGTGATGCTGATGGCTGCTGTGGGAGACTGGTGGCTGTTGGTTGTGGCAGTGGAGGGGGAAGAGTTATAGTTATTGGCAAGTCTGTCCAGAGCTGTGATTTGTCTGGAAAAATTCAAAAGTTCACAATTTTAAACCTCATCAATCGTTCACATTATGTTATCCAAACAGTATAAATAAATTTGGATGATACTGTTCTTTACATTTTGGGCTAAATATTCAAGACAATTTTTCTCTGCGTTGGACTTTCTGTACTATTTTAACTCATTCCAGACGTTTGCGACTAAATGCGTCCTTTCAACAGATGCGTCCAAATGCATCCCGACACACCTCTCTCATTTCAATTTAAAAATAGCAATGAAATCTCGCATCCCTCGAGACTTCTGGCGATGGTGTAGTTCAGCGTCCTTTCAATTTAAAAAACTGAAGTTTTTATCTTGTTTCACTTTAAAACTACATGTGCTTTAGTACGGCGCGTCTAAATTCAGCATGTTTGTCCAAGGTGCGAAAATTATTTTTTGGTCATTGTTATTTTTTCCCTGCTAAAGTTATATTTTTATTGAACCTTATTCATTTTTTGTTGCATTTTTTCTTAATTCATTAACATTAAATAATATTTAGCAGCTTAAATAAATATTTTACAAATGTAAATCAATTGCAAAACGGAGTTACTTCCCCTTTCTCGGGCAAATAAATTAAGTACAGAAGTAGCATTGCAGGAGGGAATGAGTTAATATGGATAAGTTTTTTATGTCCCCAAAACACATGCTTGCATTATCAGAGAGATAACACAATATTTGAATATTTTTATTTAGAAGTAGCAAACTAAAATTACTGACCTCATTCAGATAATAGATTTTTTAAAGAAATAATGAATACATTTATCCCAATCTTTTTTTTTTAAAATGATGTATAATTTATCTACTGATTATTAAAACAAAGAAATAAAACCTTACTTGACAGCATCAGATACCATGCTGGTGAGATAATTGTTAACTTGGCCAGTGTGAGGTATGATGGGACTGGTCATCTCGGCACTGACTGATAACACTGGACTGGTCAACTGGGCAATGGCTGGCACAACAGGAGCATTTTTACCATCAGTATTGTCTGTTTCATCCTCTTCGTCTATCTCATCCTCCCCAACTGATGGAGGAAGTGGCAGACTAAGAGGTCGTCTGGGATCAAATGTTACAGAATCTCCAGAAGATGACTTATCCAGTTGGGACAATGAACGGGTGAAATCCTCTGCCCCTGACGATGAGTTGCCAGAATCTGATTGGTGACCTGCTAAACTGTTGCTCGACTTAAAGTCAACCCCTTCCTTGAAAAGTGCATTTAGCCCTGGGATGGCAGCCAAGCCTACAGATGGTAATGGTGATGATCCCAATTTGACATTTTCAAATATAAAAGATTCATCCACTTTGGAAGATGTGGAAGTGTCTAACACAGTAAGGGCTGCACCAGATGTTGTCGAAGCATTCATTGACGTGTCTGAATGGTTGTCAGAAAAACTGTTTGGATTTACTGAAGATAAATTATTAGAGTTAACATTCGGGAGATCTGAGGTTAAATGGTTGGCTGTAGAGGCTTCCAGGATCCCAGAGGTGCTATGATCAAATGCTGACCCATTAAGATCTGCTGTGCTGTTTGACAACGATGGCACTAAACTTGTGTTACTGACATCACTAGAAATGACGTGGTCAGCTGTCACATTGGATTCATCATTGATGGCACCATTGACAACACTGCTAGTTGCAGCATTGTTGTTGTTAGTACTGCCATCTTCTGATGACATCACATTTTCTTTATTCTCTCTCAGTTTTGATTTAGGCTCTGGGAGCTGAAAAGTTACAAGAAAGAAAAAAAAAAACACAAGGTAAAATTGCATAGAGGCCCATCACATGACATGCATAAAATGGTAGGTCAAGACTGGGCACCATTCAGTAAACCAGAGTGAAAGGCTATTGAAGTGATCGTCAAAATTGAGAACTTCATTAAGTCGAACGGGTTGAATCACCGTCAGTTCCAAGAATTTATTAAATCTTTGGACTCAGATTATAATGATGCTACATTTTATGCAAAAGTAAGATGGCTGCCCCATGCCAAAATTTTGAAAAGAGTGTTTGATTTGCAGCAAAAAATACAATCATTCTTCGCATGCAAGTCAGTAAGTATCTCAGAGTTTTAAGACAAAGAGTATATTTGCGACTTTGCATTTCTGGTCGACATAAATAGCCACCTAAATGATGTTAATACTCGTCTACAAGGGAAAGATCAATTAATCAATAAGATGTATGATCATATTTCTGTATTTCAAATGAAACTTGGTCTTTGGGAACAACAGTTGAGGACAAAAAAATTTACTCACTTTCCATCGTTGTCATTGCAACCAGATTTTGCAAATAGACGACACACAGGAGGCGGCGGATAAATACGCTTCTTTTATATCTGACTTACACCTCGAGTTTGAAAACCGATTTCTGGATTTTAAAAAACACCATGTGCTTTTTGTGCATTTGCAACACCATTCGGGGTAGACATGAATTTATTACCAAGAAGATTTCAAATGGAACATTGTGAAATGTGTTGTGATAGACAGTTAAATGATAAATTCCATCAATTTGGTTTGAAAGAGTTCTATAAAATGTATTTGGACAAGGATAAATATCTTGCGTTTTACATGGTTTCGCTATTTGGAAACACATATGCATGTGAACAGCTTTTTGGTAGTATGAAGCACATCAAATCACAAGTGAGAACTAGAATTACTGATGTTCATTTGGAAAACTGTTTGAGTGTAGCGACAACATCAGTCAAGGTCAATTTTTATGCACTTAGTTCGCAAAACAAAGTCAGATGTCTCACTTTTAATATATTTGATTCTCAGTTATGTTTTATTTTATTTTTTAAAAAAAAGAAAAGAAAAAAAATACCCATTTCTTTTGTTGTTTTTTTTGTACATTAAACTTGGCAAGCGTTTGACCATGATATGACCTAATGGGAAGTGACGATGTCGTCGAAGATGTAGCAGGCTTGCTTTTTTACTTTAATTAACAGCAACAAAATTAGGTGCGTGGCCCAGCAGGAAATACTATTTCAGAAATTTGGCCCGCCTGCTGAAAAGGTTGGCCATCCCTGATCTAAGGCATGTGGACAGTGTGTGATAGGTAGGGTAAGCTGTCAAATATGATTCCTTGCAGTCTTTATATCAATGACAAATATCTCCTTCATATGATTTGCTAGAGCATCATTATCACATTCTGAGTTTTTAGTGCAAGATACGATCTGATGACACCTTGATCTTGTTTTTAACTTAGATATGTCATGAAACCGACTCAAGCGAGCTGTCAAATTTGCCATTGGGTGGGACACCCTGTGATGGTCTAGACCCCACTAGTGAGGCCACTGTCCTAAAAACATTTACTATAATTATATTTTACAAATATTAAGACCATAACAGACCTGTTTACCCATAAACTCCTAAAATCATACAATATTGTCACAAATGTGACAAAATCGTACAATACAGTATCTTAATAGTACATAAACAAACATACAGTATATATAACGTATAACTACTCGCATCGTACGGGATCGAGTTAAGCTGGCCTCAAAAGTAGAGAAATGAAGATAAAAAGTATAAGACTGACATTTATTATACTGCTATCTGCGTTCACTTTGTTCTGCAGACGTGTAATTGCTATAGATATCAATTAATATTTAGGTTAACATGCAGATCACATTATCCCAGTCTGTCACTGGTAAAAATAAAGATAGTGGTGAAATTTAAGGTGGTTCAAATTGGAAGTGATATCAAAAGCTGTAACTTGGGTGAAGGGAAGAGGGGGTATTACAAATCATAAAACTGTTAAGCATGTTCTCATTAAAGATTTAAATGGCCCCTTTAGATCTTATAAAATATGTCGAAATCTGTTATTACTGCACGCATTCTCTAGTTTTCTGCTTTCTCGTCGCGGTTCAGCCATAAGAAATAATTATGTCATGAAATTATGACATATAGCACCCGAGCAAACAAACGAGAAGAGGGGCCATCTATATAGTATGTACAAAAATTACAAATTTTCAAACCTCCCTTCCACTGTTGCATGGGTAAAACTGTGACACGGATTTTCTCCACTGTCTGTTTGGTGCGACCAGTGGTTCCCAGAATATAAGCCCCATCGCCCTGGGTACTCATTGCCATCGGGCAGGGCAATGAGAGTGGGGCAAGAGCAACAGGCGCCATAATCGTCTATAGTAATTACCTTAATAGTGAATTAAACGATGGTCCGCCCGAAGATGCACATTGTTCTATAAGGGTTGTTGCGACTTTCTCACAGGGGATAAATATTACAAAATTTTCAGAATTTGTTTCCATTTTTAATCCAATGTGACATCTTTCGATAGTGGTGCAAACAGCAACTCACTTGAGTAACTACTGTTTGCGGTTTCTAGATGGCGGTTAGTGACCTACATATGTGTTATATTTATTTTTACCCAACCCTTTATTTTATTTTGTTTTTATGTATTCGCTATTTCGAAGTGTACTAGTTAGAATTTAACACAGAGCATTACATATGAAAACCTGAATTAGGCACAGGCGCCAAAAACAAAATTTTTTAGAGCCACTGGCGTAGCCCAACAAAATATACATCACATGTAGGTTGAACATACGGTGGACTAAATATTACTGTAATACCTCTGCTCAGTACTCTCTGATTATATCTAGCCAGTTCATTAGTGAAAATACATGGCAAAATTATGATGATAATTGGTAAAAAAATTGTGTGATATTTTTACAGCATTCAAGATATAAATATGCTATTTTAGGACTTTCAGAGTTTCTGGATGAACTTTGTAGGAGTTCTGATGGGTCTTGGCGTACAATCGTAAAAGAAATCCCAAAATCGTAAGAGTAAACTAGTAGCCATAATGAAATGTTCATAAAATAAAAATTATCTAGTTCAAAAAGTTATTTACAAATCAATACGGATCTTACATGAGCGAAGCAAAAAATAAAATATTTTGATTTATCCAGTACATACCTTCCCAGCATCCTCTGCTAAGAAAAATGATTTAAACTTGTGATAGATGACTTCTGCCTTTTGTTGAATAGCATCACTCTTTTTAAACTTTCTGCACTTTTTAATGGTAGTCATAATAGCTGGATATTTCCTCAAGAGGAGTGGATTAACAGAAATTTTTGCCAAGTCCTCAAGAATAGCCACACATTTATCAATGTCCTGGTAAACAGAAGAATTAAAACTTTTCATGACCTAATGCCCAGTACATAAAAGTTTTAAACAAATTATGACAATATAAAGGTTTTTTTTCCTCTTCTGTTTTCTATTTTAAAAATGAATACATATAAACACTGGACAATTATCTGGAATGAAAATAAGGTAATGAGACATTTAAAAAATATTGTTTTGTTGCTAAATACAAAAAATAAATAGCCAACCTTAAGGTCGCCACTCTCTTAAAAACAAAATTCCCTACTTTTTCAAAACTTTTCTTAACTAAAAACACAAAAATTCCTGACTATCGCAATGCGGCAATTTTGTTGATAATATATAAAAAAACAAGAATTGTCAAAGTAAAGCAACATAGAAATACAACACAAATGAACAAAAAATTAAGCAATTAAGGTGTATACATGTAAATATTTATTCAATTTCCTAGCAATTGCAATTTTTCAATTTACTTAGACTTGAAAAATTGTTGATTTAAAGTGCAAGGGCAACTTTTGCAGTGTGTTCTCCTGGGCATTTTAGAACACAATTGGAAAGCATTGTTTCTTATACGGAGTTAATGTTCTCTTCTTTGTGATGAAAATGGATAGTGTGAGTCAAGACACTTTAGTGTCTATAAAATCTCTCCAATGAAGGTTTCATATTTTGACACATAAATTGGGAGCTTGGCTGAGAAGTTGCAGAAGTGGACACCTAAGATAGGTGATAAAGCTGAAGTCTCATCAGATGACTGCCATTTTAAAATATTTTCACCCTGAATACTTGATATCAATATTTCCAGCATAGTGAGGCAGTGATGACTTGTTCAAACATTATCATGACAGCTGTCCTAACCATCAGTCTTTAAAGGAACTGTTGGGCCTGATTTTATTGAGCCTAGATCCTTAATAGTGAAACAAAATAAAATATATTATCATATTATTATGTTTATAATTTGCTGTAAGGTATACATCATATAGACTGTATTATAACTGCACTAAACTACAGTAATATAGAGTTAGAAGAGATACTAAGATAGGCATATGCATATGAAACGGCAGTCAGGATTTTCCGCTGGGGAATGCATCATCGACCAACCCCCCCCCCCCCCCCCCCCCTCCCTTTTTTTGGCTTGGGGTCTCTAAAGGTCCCCCCACAAAAAAACAACAACACCCTTGCCTACGGGGCGAATAATTATATTGTAATTGTTCTTATAAATAATAGTATAATACAGTAAAGTATACCCAAGTACATGAGTGCATACCTATAAATAAAGACTAACAATATTATATACAGTTATGTTAGGTGCACGCAAATGAACTACCACCAGTAGTTTTAATAACTTCATAATTGAATGTAAAGGGAACTTTAAAGTCTTTAACAAATTTAAAGGTAGCCTCGTTCTAATAAAAATACATTAAATACATAAAATACATGTCGCATACATTACAGTATTTACGGTAAAACCGTTAAAAGTCAACTTATTAATACTAAGACAACAAAGTAGGCTAAGCTTAGTCATTTTAGACAGTGCTTAAACAAGTAGTTTTCTATTTATAATGGTTACCTCACAATTGAAAACTAGATTTAAATAATTGTTTACTATATTTTACACTTTACTTACCCAAACAGTCGAACATCTCTTGATCGGCAAAGTGAACAGAAAATAAATATTTCTGGTCTATCGAAGTAGTACGGTATTTGAAACGTGTAGCGCTCAAAACACATTATGCGCAGTTAAGGGGAAACCACTAGCTTTTTTGCAACGTCTTTTTGATAACAGCAAGGCGAAAAATAGACGCCCATTAACATCAATTTTCATGGAATGCAATGCCAAATCTATTGTTATTTTTTAAAAATTAAAAAATTCCAGACTATCAGGAAAATTTCCTTACTAGAATGCCAATTTTCCTGGTTTTCATGGCCGGGAAAATTGTTCAATGAATTTGTAACTATATCCCGTTAACCCAACCGACTGCGTGGGGACTCTGCAACCTAAAGCACATTTAAAGCTTATTTATAGATTTACACTTGGGATGTGGTAGTGTCCTCCATAAATGATCAGCACACAAATAAAGGTGCAAGTAGCCATAAGAATTATATTTTTCAAATTAAAAGGACAGTCCCTTATAGCTGTTACACAATGACACATTAGCAAGGCCAATTTTTTTTCCTCTCGAGAGCCATATGAATTGAATCCAGCTTACCAAGCTTTCAATATTTAGGGCCTTCTTGATCTCAGTGTCCATCTGTATTAGTGTGTTCTCAGCCAAGGTAACTGCAACATTTAATTATCTTTGATGAGTAATACCACTAAAAAAATATCCACTCTTTTAAATGAGACTTTTTATAACTTAGTAACCTTTTAAAATTTAAAGTTGATTCTGTTGGAAGTCTATCAATAACTAAAAAACAAAAACTAATTAATAAATATGCAGACAATTATTTAATTATATTTAAACTAAATGGTATGATTAAAATATTTATTTAACATACAGAGTGAAGAGTGTATGAAATTTAGTATAACATAATTCTCTACCCAGCAATAGCTTACAAGAAATTTGCTCCTTTTTCTCTCTCTTCTTCTGTTCTAATTTTTCCTGTTTCTTGCGCTCCTTCTCTTGCTGACTGGAAATGTTAAACAAAATTCATTTCATTATTTGATTTTTATTAAATAAAATTATGATAAAATCATAGGATTTGTAGTTTTGCCTGATATATGTTTTGAGTTATATGACCTACGAATAAAATATAAAAAACAGATTTAATCTTGAAAGGAGAAACATGGAGTAAACTTAATTTGTTGAATAAATCTGAAGTTTTTCTTTTAGGAAATGATTAGTGCAATTATTTGGTGTGCCCACTAGCATTTCAAATAAAAAGCCTTTGTCTAAAATTTTAAGTATCCATCCTTATTCATATACATTCTTTTACATTCATCTGATATAACTAATCAGATAACACTTTATAAATAAAAGTAGGAGGAAATTAATTACATTTTCTTCTCCTTTTCAAGTTTCTTGGCTTTGTCTTCTTCCTTCCGCCTTTTTTCTTCTTCATTATGTGTCTTCTTTTTTTCCTCCTTTCCTCGCTCATCTTCTGACTTGTGATCATGACTTGACCTTCGTTCCTAATAATTTTTAATATGATAAAAACTTGAGGTAAAGGAAAAATAAATAGCAGAACTGTTTACTGTTTACCCTCAAACTCCTAAAATCGTAAAATATCATTCAAAATCGTACAATACAGTATCTTAATATTAAATAAATAAAAATACAGTACATAAAATGTACACAATAACTACTTCGTATAGCCTATTCAGCTGGCGTAAAACAAATGGAACTGAAGGTAAAAAGTAGATGACTGACGTTAACTGAAAACTGCGGTCACTTTGTTTTGAAGACATATTGTTGCTATAGATAGCAATTAATATTTTGGTGAAGGTGCATGTCATATTATCCCAGTCTGTTACTGGTAGTTCAAACTCAAAAGTCAGATAAGCATAAAATAAAATGTATTAAAATAAAAATTATTTACCCGGTAAAAAATTGGGGCGTCATTAAAAAAACAACCTACCAAGTAACTTGAGAATTATTCTTCAGGAAAACCAGTTTAAAAAATAAAATAAATAAATATCTATTATGCCTATTTCCTGTTAACAAATTACTGTCTGATTATGACCACAAGCAGTAAATGGGTGAAAGGGTATTAACAATCGTGGTTGTTTTGTGCCTTTTATAAATTTCAAAGACTCTTTCAGGTTCTATGAAATATGTCAAAATCTAATACTAATATTGCTGCACGTTAACAGTTGAGAATGTATTCTCTAATTTTTCTATGTTTCTGTACCCTCTGCGGTCAGCGTAAGAAATAATTATGTCATAAAATTAGGTCACACAAAGCAAACAAACGCGAGCAGGGGCCATCTATATAGCACATACCAGTAAGCGAAAAAGTCAAATTATCTAACCCCTACCCTGTTTGTTGGATGCATACTTTTTTTTACGAACCCCCCCCTTCCCTTTTGCATACGTTACAATGAGCTTTCGGACATCCTTCGCCCCTCCACCCCTCAAATTTTTTTTTAAATTAACAAAATCCCCTATATATTATGATGCGACACAGGTTTTCACCACTGGTGATTCGGCCAGCCCAGTGGTTCCCAGAATATAAGCCGCATCATCCTGGGTGCTCATTGCTCTCGGGCAGGGCCATGAGAATGTGGCAGAGAGCAACAGGCGCCAAAATCGTCTTTAGAACCACACTATACACACAATCTTCTAAGCCAACAC